ATAGATATTTAAAACACTAGCTTCAATATAGGTTTTAATTTATGTAGATAAATTTAACACTTTTTATTTCTTTTTTACAAATTTGATGCTATTGGCTGGCACCTAAGATTTTGTTTATTTTAATGTATTATTTAAGCAAGTAGAGCACTTCTATTTTGTAGATTGTATAGGTTCTTGCAATCAATGTAGGATACAATTTTAATTCTCAATAATGACTTATAATGATTGTTATTACAATAATTAGCTTGTTTTTGAAAACGGTGGTCTTAAATTATATACAAAATATGGAGTCCCTACAATAGTTATATAGTATTTACGAAAAAAGATCCAATTTTTTTTTGGAATTTTTGCAGCATGTTTTCTGTATATGTTATTATCAAAGAAGATTGAATCTGTGCTCCAAATCTCCTATCTAAATACACCACTGCTTCTGTAAACTGATGCCAAATCCAATTTACTATAAATATGCTTATTGAAGGTAAATTTAGAAGAGGTAGAATCCTTTTCAGTTTACAGCAAAAACTTTTCTCACTTTTCGTGATTTTGGGAGGAGAGTTAGGCATTTAACAACCAGCCGGATTCATTTATTCATTTAGGTACTTGTCTGATATCCTCGTGTATGTTGGTTCTTTAGTGATATCCGGAATTAGTATCGTAATAGGTCTAAATAGTGAGATAACAGATATTTCAGTGTTTATCTTTGTGACTTGAACATCGTGTTAACATCTTGAATGAATAGTTGAAATATTAAATGTAACTATGAAACATAAGTATCTGAAATAAAGTAACACTTCCTTCTGGAGTGTAATAAAACAACGCCACTCTAAAACTATGTGGAACACGATCTATAAGACTTTTCACAGAACGGGTTAAATATAAACAGCATGGTTAAATCTTTGTCGGTCATTTATAGGAACAGAATTTGATACGGAAATTTCTGTCGAGGAGATCGATTTACCTAAGTCATCAACGTTGTAATTTCTCTCTATATTCGCATAACGCGGAGCTTAAACTTAAGCTGCTTTGCATTATAACTACTGAGTAATAAGTAAATATTTGTCATCATTTGTGAACTATTTTGTGAAGGGACATTGACCACTTATAGTAGTGGTTAATAGCCTCCTGACAATTTGTAAGAATATAGATTTTATTATCTTAGAAATTTAGAAATTATGCTGCTCCGGATGTAATTACATCCGTTTGACATATCAAAATTGACTTGATAAGTTTCATGATTGACATATCTTTATGTCGATGGAATAGCCTCCGCCTGGTAAACAGTTTTAACCTCTCACTGTGATGTTTTTCACGTTTCACCATCATTTTGTTGAATTGTTTTCAAACTTGTGTATTTTAAAATTCATTACTAAAATATTTTTTCTATATTGCCAAAATTAGAAAAAATTATATATCTTTACAATTGTATATAATTGTTTAGCTTAAGGAATTTTGTTTATAATACGCTAATTTATTTTAGTTTGTTTTCAAGTGTTTTACCTCAACTATATGCCAGGATAACGAAATTTCTTATAAATCATGCATTTAAACCACCACAAGAGCAAGTTACTTTTGTTACTAATATCTAATGTATGACTACATCCGTTAAATACGTTTTGTGGTTTTTATCAGTTTAGTGCCCAATTCTCATGGCATTTCCTCTTCAACTGCAGCTAAGCACTTAGTATACAAACGGAAATAGTTTTAATTTAAAGTTATCACCAAACGAATTTGGTTGCTGCTGCTGTTGTTGCTGCTGCTGTTGTTGCTGCTGTTGCTGCTACTTCTGCTGCTGATACTGGCGTATTTGAAGCTGTAACAAGCATTACACATCCACTCACATTGCACTTATTTTGTTGTTGCAATTGAAGTGATTGTTTTTAGCCTCCCGAATGCTGTTTACTGTAACCGTCCTTGCTGATGTTGATGTCGTTCTAGCAATTTTAGCTGTGTTATATTTGTAGTTGTTATCAGCAGCAGCAATGGTAAATGTAGCTGTAGCTGTGACTGCATCTGCAACTGCAACAGCAACAGTAATAACACAACAGGATGTGGCATGAAACAACCAAAAATCGAAAACTTTCAAACGTTCTGCACTGCACTTGCAATCGCAATTGTTATGTATACATTTTTAAACTTAAAATGTATTTTCTGCCAATGCAAAAGTTTAAATTTATGTTGCTGCGGCTATTTTACATTGCTGATATTGTGAGTTCAAAATTGGAAATTGTTTTATAGTTGCTGTTTGTTCCCCGCATTTTAAATGCAAAATTTATTTATTTCTATAAATCCTTTTGGTTGCCAAAAATGTTTTTGCATTTGCCTGCTTGCTGCCTGCTGCCTGCTGGTCGATACAAGCACTATAAATATTGTTGCAATTTCATTTCAAATTTTAGTGTCTGAAACAAATGTTGCATACCTCTTTATGGCACCTAAAACAAAACGTAATCAATATCATTTGCATTGATAATATTTTTTAAGTCTTCGACTTAATTTAAAAATAAGTCATATTTTATTTTTCAGTTTTAAAATATATTGATCAATATAAACCGCATTTATAAAACTTCTTAATTTGCGGGAATTCAAAACGATTTAATTGGACACGCACGTATAAACGCATTCCTAAACCATATTGAAACTTATCACAATGAAACAAACTCAAGATGTTGACTAAGAGTTGAAAATCAATTTAAAATGACTTAAATAATATTAAAATAATAATCAAACAAACTCAAAGACTTTTTAACTGGCAAGTGTGTTTTTTCTTTGACATTAATTATTTTTATATATATAACTAGTAGATGACCCGGCGAACTCTGTTCCGCCTTAAAGGCAATAAATAAGCAGTTTTTTTTTAATTGGAAAAAATACAAAAAAAAAAAAATACCTACATTAATCATTCATAATTTATTTGTGTATTTTAGTACACATCGCAAATTATCTATTTGTTGACCTCTGTTGTTCGCTCGACCTTCAGTCCTTAAATTTGCAGTATTTCGTATTCTTCTTGCATTACGGCTTTGTCGGGAAAGATTCGATCGTCTTGGTCGCGGCATTATTAAAAAACTAAAAACTCAAATTTTCAACCATACCATACATTATAATTGTTAATTATTTATTTTGTTGAGTTTGCAACAACCAGGTAGTTTTATTGATTAAAAACGATATTTATTGCAACACAAACTTATATTGATCTAATACAACTTTTAAAAACACATTAACTAAGTTATATTTCTATCTGTTAAATTTTAATAAAATATTTTCTTATATCAAAAATTTGATAATTTCAAAACCTACTTTGTCGTGAACGGGATAAACGGGTATCCTATGTCCTTCTCCTGGCCTTAAACTACCTCCCTGCCAATTTTCAGCTAAATCGGTTCAGCCTATGTCCTTCTCCTGGCCTTAAACTACCTCCCTGCCAATTTTCAGCTAAATCGGTTCAGCCGTTCTTGAGTTATAAGTGGTGTAACAATAACACATTTTTCTTTTATATATATAGAAGAAGAAGATAATCTATATATATTCTATATATCAATTTTAAAATTAAAATATTTTTATTAATATAAAAAATTTTGTTTTTAGGGAAGCTCTTCCACAGTACCACCTCGTACAGCATTTCCGGGCGCTCCGCCACCAGCTCCGGCGGTTGCAATAAAAGGAGCTCCACGACCAGCTATGACTAGTCCAGCAGCAGCAGGTGGCTTAGCAGGTGCTCCATATCGCGGTGCTAGTTGGACACCACAAGGATACGCTCCAGCTGCAGCAGCTGCTGCAGCCGCTGCAGCCCAACAAGCATACAGATATACAGCACCATTACCGCAACCAGCATATGCTGCTTATACACCACATACAGCTACAACTCCAGCAACAACAACGGTAAGTCGATCATTAACTTTTAATATATAGTTTTTATAAGAATAATAGATATATTCTTAACGATATTTCTATCACTAAAAAATACTTTTTTAAAATATAGTCATATATATATAAATTTAATATATCTAAATTTAATTTCAACAGCATTGCAACGAAATAATATTAAAATGAGTGATTGAAACTAACTGTTCGATATTTATTTCCTATAAAAAATCTAAAACATATTGAAATGGGTCAGTTTCTGCACCTATATAAAAAAATAACATCTATTCGGAAATATTTTTATGGTAAATGCGGGAAATAGATGTGAGCCAAAAACTTAATACCTAGCGGACTAGGTTTTTCTAAGCCAGAAAGCATTTGAAAATTTTGAACAAAAAATGTTAAGCCTGATATAGTCTACAACCTAGATACTCTAAACAGACTTTACAATATAATTGGTTTACTATAAGCCGACAGGACTGTATAGCGCATTTCTGTCAGTTATAGTTATTGAGTATCAACTGTTGTTTATTACATCGTCAAAATTTTTTATTTTTGCTTTTTTTTAATATTAACAAAAAATTAAAAATTATGTCACTTTCAGTTTGATCCTTAACCCAAAATACTTTAATACTTTCTACTGTTCACAATAGAAATGATTTCTTTCTATTTTTTCCTTCAGTGTTCTTATGGAAAAATTCTAAAAGAATTTCGCACGCTTATGCACACACAAGTTAAAGCAACTGCTGATAAAAAAAAGGACTTTTTTGCTCTCAAATGATTTATAATCCTTTTCCAATAACTCCATTGTTCTACGAACTTCAAACCTTGCCTTAGCTAAGAATAATAATCTCAACCTGTACAGGTTCTTTGTATTACGGGCATCCTGCTGATGAAGATTGATTTTTCCTTTTCAACTCAAATCTGAAATTGATTTTTTATTGATGGTTTCTTGAAAGCAGGATATTTTCCTTTATTTTTTATCCTTGTTTTGCAGTTTTCTACTATTGATCTGTTTTATTTTTGCAAAAAAAAAAAATATATATATAAGTAGAATTTATACAAAAATATGCATCATTTTTGGAGATGTAAAGTTTGCTTTTTTGGCTTTTTTTCATGGATTTTCGCATCAATATTTTTTATGTGGCCGCGCGCATCAATCAAAAGTTTGTGAATGATTTAAATGCTTTGATTGACTGCATTTGTGCGGGTGTTTCCGTTTGGAGTATGTCTGGCCATGGCGGAATTTATTCAAGTGAATGCAATGAGGTGAAAAGCAAAATTTATGACTTCCGCTCTAAAGGGAAATCGCATTAAATAAATGTACTCGAAATGTTAATTTGATGCTCCGAAATGTGAAATTCAATTTTATAGAAATTTTTGCACTCTCATGCGTAAATTTTTCTTGCCTACTTCTTATTTACGAAATTTATCTCATCTTAGGATACGCCAAAGTACTTCACCACAATTTATGTATGTATTTAAGGAAAAGATATTTCTTAAGGATATTGTGTTTTCATTCTCTATTTAATTCTTAGTTAACCACAAATAATTTTGTACTAAATGCTTGTTACAGTTTAAACCCTTCTGAAAGAATTTATTGGGGTTTTAAGAAATTGTCTGCGGTTTATTGTGTTAAAGATAGTTTTAGTTCAAATTACATATATCACATTAAAGTCATTAGTATTATATAAATTGCTCTTGAAGTAAGTACAAGATAATTGATTAAAGTATGTATACAACATAATAAACATGTTTCATAATATACGTATCTTGTAGATGAAAGGATAACGAATAGAAAATGCTGCAAAAAAAAAAAAACTACATAAGAAATAATTTACCTCAAGCATAACAAAATACAAATGAAAATGAAAGGAAATTATTTTCATTATGCCAATTCAATATGCAATACCAAAAATGTAGTGTTCGAAATTATTATTAACCATCGAAAGGATAAATAATTTGTTTTGTGTATTACAAAGTTCCCCCTTGGTAACATATGCCGCAGGCTTAAACATTTATTAAAAAAGTTTTTGCTGTTCACAAACTCATGCACAAACTACAAAAAGAAATTATTAACAAAAGTTGCAACAAATGTTACTGCCTACTGCTTACAAACTTACATACAGACATACATATTCATACATACATACATAGTTTGGTACAGAAACGTACATAAACATTTCCTCGATATTTACATCTTTACAAAATTTTTTCTTTAACAAACCTTTTATTTTTATAGCCATCAGCTATACAAGTGGCACAATTTTATAAAAATATATTGGAAAAAAAAAAGAAAACTATTAGCAATAAACAATAGCAAAGTATCTACCCAATCAGGGCCATATCTGTATAGCAAATAACAAGCACTAAATAAATTGATGTTGCGCCATTTTTTTCTTAAAATTTAATCGGTAATATTTATCTCTTATTAAAAATCTATGCAATAATTTTAATTAAACTGGAAGTTAAACTACACTGCCAGCGACTGGCATTAGCACAAAGAAACAACATAAGAAAGAACACAATTAAACATTTGGTTTGGAAAAAGGGACTTCCCCTAACAGCAAAATGCATTAATACTTAAAAAATAATTCGACTTATAGAATGCACTTTCCACATATTCCTATCGGTAAGGGAAAAAATTTTTGTTCGAGTTATAGTTATAATTATAGTTATATGTTACCTGTAATTAAAAAATTACAGGTGGCCAAGAACCATCTCAAATGAAGAGCTTTTACGCGTAACTGAGCAAGAGGATGTTAATATGCAAATCAAGAGACACAAACTCAACTAACAAGGACATACGTTAAGGAAGAACTACGATGAAATATGTCACGTCACAATAGAGTGGGACCCCCAAGGAACCTTGAGGAGGGACCGACCAAAAACGCCCTAGTGACCAACCATATACACCGAAACTGATAAAAGCGACAACGTACTTCGACATTTAGCATGACACAGAGACAACTGGAGATTCTATATTCTAATTGTCCATGTTCTTAATAGAATACGGCTTATATGTGAGTTCTTTAAGACCGACTCTTAAATAATTCCTTATAATATTATTCTTTATAATATTATAATCCTTATAATAACTCATATCGTTGCGCAATCATCGAATTCGTCGTATAACCAGTAATTATTCTCTAAGCTATACAATCCGTACCGGGGACACCGGTGTGACACAATTAAGAAGATAAAAACCGTATAAGTTTTTCGATATGATATCTAGTTATTCCCTAAGCTAAAGAGACCGCTCTAACTTCATTATTTCAATTTAATTGAATAAAAAATGAATTTGTACGTGTTTGGAAAGACATTCCGAAAATCAACTATAATAATTGTTTTCAGGGTTGGAAGATATGTTAGCGTAAGAGTGTTGTATAGTGAGAAGACTAAGGTTAAGGTGATAAAATAATTTTAGAAAAATAAATAACGATTTTTAAAGTTATTGACAATTTCACTTTATTTCACTTGATCACAGTTGTAAAAAAATTGAGTAATACTTAACTGCTAGAAAAAGTATATTCCTCCATAATTGTAACTCTCGCATCTTACAAAATTGCATTGAATTCGATGGAACTCTTTAATTTATTAAGGATTATTTGACTCAGTAAAATGCACTATAGATATCTAGGTCACAGAGCAAAATTTCCCAGTTTAATAATAATAACAAAAATCATCATTTTAGACAACGCAACTTGCAAATTTCCAACGAAACAATCTTCACTTAATACCAACAATTTTTACAAATTTCATTGCTAGAATGCTCTGCTTTGGGTATTTACGTAAAACACGTTTACATAATTTCATTGAAATACACAACAAAAAGCACTGAAAATGCGTAAAATAAATTAAGTTCTTAACTATAACAAATTAATACAAATTAGGCATAATTAATCTTAAATGCCGCAAAAGTGCGTAAGTCAATTTTTTACGTTTTTGCGTTTCTGTTTTTTTTTTTTTAACATTTTTATTGCTGCGTCAGTGTTTACCACACTCGACTCGGTTCTGGGCGAATACGACAATGTCAATGAGTGCTTCTTCCAATTGGTCATTTCATTTACTTGAAGCAGGAACTGAAGCTGAAGCAGAAGTCCCGTCACTCTCCTTTAATGCTTTTGTAAATACTCTTAATGATTTGATTTTCTTTCAATCATTCGTAACACTGAAGGATGCCTTTTTCAATTAAGCAGCTTAATCACCCACCGATAGATTGAATGGAATAGTTAATGAAGTCAAAGAAATCAATGTTTATTACAATTTTCCTTAATGAAATTTTTTGAATGAATGTCTTCATTTATATTTTATACCATCTAATTAATTTTAAATGTTTTTCGATTTGTGAAATTAAATTAAATATTTTACAATAAGATTGTGCCGTGTAACCGTCAATTTATTTCATTTCTGTTTGAATTTTATAGTAGTAAATTGAATTATAATATATATTGAAATGAATGTAGTACATAAATTTGAGATTTATATTTGGTTTTTTATATATGTAATATTATATGTATACTATATTATACATAATATAATATATCATTGTTCATTTGAACAATGAACTTAATATTTTATAGAAAACTGAAACTAATCTGAACTGATATGATATCGTTTAAAACCATAGGTATATCAACATTTACTTTGCTTGCTTATTAGAGCAAATATTCTCAATAAATTTCTAGTGCTAATAATTCTGACATAAATTAAAACTTAATAAAAATTTAATTATAATACAAAAATAGATTAAGGGTGCACAATGGTTATGGTTTTCACAACAACAACTCCATATACTTATCACGATGTTTCAATAAATTTTTAGTGCTAACAATTCTGACATAAATTAAAACTTAATAAAAATTTAATTATAATACAAAAATAGATTAAGGGTGCTCAATGGTTATGGTTTTCACAACAACAACTCCATATACTTATCACGATGTTTAAGTAGATATATAGCTACTGAAAATTATATATCGCTGACAAAAAGTGTATTACGGCTTGGTTCAGTCCAT